GTGGTGGCACACACCTATAATCCCAGCACTTGAGAGGCTGAGGCAGGAGGATTGTTGTGAGTTTGAAACCAGCCTGGGCTTCAAAGTGAGCTCAAGGCCAGCCTGAACTGCATAGTGAGACCCTGTCTCAAAAAGACAAAAAACAAAAAACAAACAAAAAAACCCCAAATATCCTTTCTCTGGTGATGCACTTTGACTTAACTTTCATTTGAGCTGATATTAATAATTACAGTACTGTCAGGCATGATGGCACATTTGGAGCTGAGAGACAATGAATTCATAACCAATGAACACACTCCACATGTCTTTTGGCAGGCAGAGCCCTGTCCCTTTTACGAATGCACCTGATTAGGTTAGGTCCACTGAGGATCATCTGTCTTTGGCAGCGCTTGCATTATAGCATAACACAGATTAATCACAGAATTCACTGTTCCAGGGGTTTATGTGGGTGTGTATCCTAGGGGGTAGGAACTTGGGGGGGAATATTTTAGAAATTTGCCTGTTGCAAAGTGGATAAGTGTAGGAGAGGAGGAGGAGACAGAATGACTCACTGCTATGTGAGAAACTCCTTTGTAAAGTAAATAGCTTGTCCTTTATTTCATGACTTGAATACATTTTTAACTGTCTCACAGAAGAAGAAAAGAATAGTATTTGTTGAGCATGTATTTGTCAGCTACTGCTTGGGACACTTACATAATCTCCTAACACCTTGAGGTAAGGATTATCATCTTTGTTTTACAAGGGGGGAAATGATCTTAGGTTGTAAGTTCACTTGTGTGCAGCAGCTCAACTAATATATGGTGTATTAGAATTAAAATCCAACCTTAATACACATCTCTTGTTTTCTAATAGCATCTAATAACATAGCTGTCCTCGAAAGTGTTTGTGCCAGGATTTTATGCTGGGCCTGGTGGCACATGCCTCTAATCCCAGCACTTGGGAAGCTGAGGCAAGAGGATCACCGCAAGTTTGAGGCCAACATGGGTTACATAGAAAGACCCTGTCTCAAAACATCAAAAATAAATGAATGAATGAATGAATGATGGTAGGATTTTACAGAGTCCAGTAACGGAACCAGACAATACACCTGCATTTCTGCTGGTTGATAAGGAGCCCACCGGCAGAGGTCACTCCTCTGTTGGCTCTAGCCGAGGGGACCGTAGATCACAAGAACAGTCCTACCCTGACTTCCCCATTCCAGCAGGGCGGCTGAGGCTGCTCCATCTGTGTGTCACCAGGAAGTAACCCATGCCTTTGTTCCCTGTTCTTACATCTGACTGTGGAACAAAAGAACAAAGCAGGATTTGAGAGAGCTGGGCAGAGCTTTTTCAGTGGTGAGGGTGTGTTTTATGCTTGGAGAATTCTGGTAACCAAGAGCTGAGCTTGTGATCAATGGCCAGGGAGTATCTGTAGGATGAAAGTGCTTGGGCATATCTCTGCCAGGGCACACTGTGCTACCATTTTGGTTTGCCATCAACCCACTGTGTCCTTAGAGCCTGGCATGGAACCCTGGTAAATGATTGTGGAATTAATGAGGCTCCGCTAGCCTGCTTGGTTGGTTTCATCCTTAATACTCCATTGAAGCAGTTTGGTATAATGGGACTCAGGAGTCCTGGGCTCCCCCTTCATTTTACCAATGATTCGCTGTGGGTTATTAAGCTCTCTGGGACTTAGTTCCCTCATCTTTAAAATGTAGAACATAATTTAAATGCAGGACTGGATCCATCCTGGCTCTGTAGTTCTGTGAAATGTGCTGCTGTGTCATAGCTGCTTCTGTAGTTTGAAACATCTAAGATGGTTGGGTTTTTGGTTGGCCCTCAGGTTATGAAGACATGTGGAACAGTTTGGGCAAATAGGAACGGTACATTTAGTTCCTTTTCTTTTACACATGGAGTAATAGATTCATTGGAATATGATCTCTTCCTCCACCCACTTCCATCAATTCACAGTGGAATTTTTTTCTCCTTCCAATGCTCTGCATGTTTATCGGCTTTAAAGGGAAATTTTAAAATCAGGATGTAGTCAGAAGGGCAGGCACAGAACTCAGCTGGTTAGAGAAAATTTCTTTATGAAATTTCAAATGAACTAGCCTGGACTGTTTCCCAAGGAATTTTTTTAAACTGTGATTTGTTGAGATTTTATTTAAGTGGAGTTTTTTGTTTTTGTTTTTGTTCTTTTTTCTTATTCTTGACTTGAAATATTATAGTGTGTCTACTCAGGGGAATCATTAGAACCTGGGAGTTCAAGGGCAGCCTGAGTTCAAGGGCAGCCTGTGCAACATAGTGTCTCAAAAAAAAGAAGGCAAGAAAAGAAAAAAGAAAAATAGCTGGATACGGTGGTGCGTGCCTATAATCCTAGCACTTGGGAGGCTGAGGCAGGAGGATCATTGCAATTTCAAGGCCAGTATGGGCTACATAGTGAGTTTAAGGCCCAACCTGAACTATATAGCAAGACCTTGTCTCAAAAAAAAAAGTATGAAAAATTCAAAAGTTTTCAAAATACTGTGATCTGAGCAAGCAAGGTGGTCTTCATTTCTGCTTCTAGAGATACAGTCTTTACTGCAGGTACCAAAGATTTCTGATAGACTTAATTAATATTCAGCAGATAGAATCTCATTTCCTTAGTTCCCAAACAGCTTAGATTTAGCTATATTTAGACCCTCTGAAAGGTTAAACTATCTCAAAAGGTACATTAAACTATCTCAATTCTGGTTGAGAATCTAATTAGTATTACAGCCATAGGCAGATCACTTAGCTCCACTCTGCCTCAGTTTCCATAACTGTGTAGAGTGAGAATTAAAGGAAAGGATCATATGAAATACAGCATCAGTGTTTTCAAAAGCTCCCCACATGATTATAATATGCAGCCAAGATTGAGAACATCCCCTGAAGGGCTGGGAGATGGTGTCTTTATTCAGTAGTGTACATTCTTGGTGATGAGTTTAGGTTCTAATGTATTTTCTTATTTTGTATTTCTAAGCATTGGCCAGTTATCTCAGTCTCTTATGAAATGTGGGCAACTGTTTTTGCAGGCAGCTTTTATTGCCTGCTGGGATTGGGGAAATCCTGGGTTTGAGTGGAATTTTCCATAACTCTTCACTGTGCACCATTATTAGTGTTGCCCGTGGCCGCACTGCTCTCCAGTGTGTCTGCCTGTGCCATCTTCCTTTCTTCTCTTTCTTTTATATAATGTCGGATGGATGTTAAACCTCAGCTACAAGTCGTGGTGTTGTGTTTTTAATACCCTAGTTCTAAGAGCAGATTGAGAATCTTATCTGAATTAACTTTTTGTTTATAAAGTGAGTCAGCTTGAGGTATCTGCTTGGCCTGATTTCCTCAGGTATCATATTTCCTGTCACAAAACGAGCTTTTGTGGGCTGGGAAGGGCAGGTGTGCATTTCTGTAGGCACTGGCTTCTGACGCTATGCGGGCTGCCTCTCCAGCAGTCTCTTTATTTGTGAACAGAAGCAGCCTTTTGATCCTGTTGACTGAAGGAATTCCAGACGTGACAGTAAATGGAAGAGACATCAACCCTAAGAGGGCCTAGTTAGGTCTGACTAGTTCCCCTCTTACTGAGGAATTTAAGGTTTTTGAAAATGAAGGAAACCTGCAAAGCCATCTGTCTCTTTCTCCTTAGAAAACAATTTAGACTCCATGCAGAGGAAAACGTGGGATTATATTGGTATAGTTCATACTCCCAGAGCAGTAGTAGAAATTGGGCTCATCTATTTGCTGTACTGCACCTTCATCCATGAGAGAAGTTCTCATCTATTCCTGTATCTGAAATAGGAACTAAAGTTAGTGTGTATTCATTCTGCTTCCTTCTGCTTCTGTTGAAGCGTTATCTCCTTCCCTGACCATCTTTCAGTATTCCCCCAACCATTTCCTCTCCTTGCTTTCTGCTTTATTTTCTTCCTTGCATTTATTGTTGGACATTACTTAATGTCCAACATTAAATAATGGATAATGACAATTCATATTCTTTATGGTGCTCCTGGGGCTTAGAACCTAGTAACTGCTCATTAAATATTTGTTTTGCAGGGGATATAGCTCAGCGGCACAAGGGCCTGCCTGGTAAATGCAAGGTCCCAAGTTCAGTTCCCAGTACAAAAAAAAATTTTGTTTAGTAAGTAAAACATGGAAAGGCTTGAATAGTCAGGCATTTGCATAGTGTCTTTTTGTTCTTTGCTTTTTGGTCTTAGCACAGTGCTTCTCAAATTTCACTGGATGTATGAATTACTACAGTGGGTATAAAGCCATTTATTCAGAACTTTCTGAACTGTGCAAGAAATTTGTAAAGGTAACATTGTGGTGTTTTTCACTTCTAACCCTGAATAAGATACTATTATTTACCGTAATTAGTTTGTAATGCAGGAGAATACTGTACTTATTATTTAGATTCTGAAGTAAGCAATGGAAAATAAAATGCCTATTTGGGACAGCTCCACTGACGCCCACAAGATGTATTATGTATTTTAGTGGCAGTGGTGATTAGAGAAAGAAGCATAAGCGTTGTCGTTTAAATGGAAGCTGACAGGCCGAAATCAGACCTGTGCTATACTAGCAAAAATTGACGTGTTGTATGTGTTGTGGGTCTTAACATTTGCATTGTGGATAAAATAAGGCCTATTTCCCTGCGTCTGAAAGTTATGATGATGACAGATTGCAATTAGGTGAAGACACTCTAAAGTACAGATAGTAGGTACTCAGGAAACCTTGGTTACTCAAAAAGATAATCAGGTAATGAGAGAAAAGGCAGAGACATACTGTGACAGAGCCTCAATGCTCTGTGGCTGTGTCTCAGAACAAAAGCAGGATATGTCCTGGGAAATACTTTATCAGACATGTTCCCATTAGCACAGAGTGTATTGAGAGTTTGGTCTGAACAAGATAGATTCAAGTTTTATTAATGCACTTTTTCTGTCCTACATGAAAATGGTTGTGTTTCTACATGATTTCACCATCTTATTCTTGTTCCTCTCTCCATTTTTTTTTTTTCAGTTGGTTAATTGCAATTCTGGCCCAACTCAACCCTCTCTTTGGACCACAGTTAAAAAATGAAACTATTTGGTATCTGAAGTATCATTGGCCTTGAGGAAGAAGACGTGCTCCACGGTGCCCAGACTTTGAGGTGACTACACACTTGACTTTAGTATTAGTATTGTTAGTCAGTTAGCTGGAGTTTGCCTGGACTTCTCAGAATTTCATGGCCATTTCAGTAGAATGCAAGAGCCAGCTGCTGAAAGCAAATGTTACCTAAAGAGCAGAACATTTAGAATTTAAGCCATTCTCCTTATCTCAATGTAAGGGATTTATTCAAAGAGGTTTTTCAATTCTGCGATAACCCTACCTTTTAAAAGAAATACAGTTTGATTTGCAAAGTTAAGCTTGCATGCAGGCTTTCAGACACAGATCAGAATAGTGACAGTTCGTACTTGACATTGCAAGATCTATCACCTATAAGAAGTGGCTGGCATATTTGAAATTAAGAATGTTTCTGAATGCCTTGGAGGAGAGGGTGCCTTTTGAAACCTAGTCTTAAAGTTGCAGCTTTTATTTGGTTCTGAGAATCAGAGAAGTAAGCACTGATAGAGTAGAGAGGTTTGTTCACTGGCTGAAAGGAAGCTTGTTAAGCCACATGCTTAAATAGATTTAGGTGCAACTTCTTTGGCAAGGACACTTGTTTGGTGGTACATGAATCACATATTGCCTCACATCAGGAGATACACTGTGGCTGGCTGTTCTATTTTTCGATGCTAAGATGATCACTGGGTTCAGGTAATGATAGTACAGCCTGATCCCTTCAGTTGTAAAATTCTCGTCAGCCCTTCATGCAGTGATTTTATCTGTGCATGATCATAGTCTGAATTAATCATTTCAGTAGAAATTGCAAAGTGATGAATTTGTAGTTTAAGCATTACCTCTATATTTGACAACAGAAATACCCCTATAAAGATACATTTTCCCACATGTACTTGGATTATTTAGTAACCTTGAAATACAGATCATGTAGGAAAAGCGGAATACAGATTTAATTCTTTCTGTTTTCAAAGGGAGATCTTGGAACCCAAGTTACTTTGAGGATATTCAGTAAACTTTAAACTGTAATTAATTACATTTATTATCTGTTTTATGTTGTTATTCTTTCTTTGGACTATAGGAGCTTATTTAGACTGGCTTAGACTATATATCCTTAGTTCTTAGCTTTTGTTAGTTTCTGTAGCTTCTGGCAACATTAAGATGTCCCAGGATCCTCTTGTATGTTTCTGTCCCAGACTTGGATTTCATTGCTTTGCTAGTTGCGTTCTAAATTTCCTACTAAAAATATCTCTAGCCAGGTATGATGGCACATGTTCATATTTAAATCCCAGTTTATAAATCCTTCAGAAGGCTGACACAGAAGGATCATGACATAGTGATATTCACTGTAATTTTCGATCATACCATGTAATTTCTTTTTAAATCGTGAGTTCACATTAGTATTTTTAATTCAAATTTAACTTTGTAGGTTTTTACTACTATGGTTTTATATTTGAATATCATTCATATTTGCTGAATGAGAATCTTAACAGTAACTTACTTTCATTATTCTGTAATATATATATAATATTTTTAAAATAACACCACTATAACTAATAGTTATAAGCTTTATTAATACATGTTCAAACAGAATGGTTATGTTCATTGTAGGGAGTTGCAAAATGCTGTTTTCTGAGGTCACTTGAAATAAGTATTTGCTAACTAGGCATGGTGATTCACACCTGTAATTCTAGCTCTCAGGGGGCTGCAGCAGGGTGATCACCATGAATTGGAGGCTGGCCTGAACTACACAGTGAGTTCAGGGTCAGCCTGAACTATGAAGCAAGATCCTGTCTCAAAAAACCAAAAAATAAATACATAAATAAATAAGTAAAAAGAATTATTTTCTTTCATCAATTGGATATATAGTTAAATTATTTTATTTTGTTTTCCAGTCTTTTGAATATAGATTTTCAAAGTCAAATTATATAAATAAGGTATATCAGATAAACCTAATCATTTTTAATAAAGATTAAACAAATACATTCATTTATTCATATACATACCCATACACACTACTGTCACAGAAGTGGTATCATATATCCTGTTTTCTTATTGGTTTTTTTTTTGTATATATTCTGTTTTGTACCTTATTTTACTCACCAAATAATGTATCCTAGAAAGTGCTGCTTATCAGTGTATAGCTATCTTCCTTAACTTCTACAGCCATTGGTATCCTTTGGGTTGTCTGAGGATACAAGGAAAAACCAACTACAACTCAGACTCAATTTCTCATACTATACTAACACAACACAGATCACTTCTAGTATTACACCTGGGGCAAAGGGTTTCCCCACACATCAAGCCAGCGAGCAGCTCTGTGGCTTTGTGGACTCTGACAGTACCTTCGCAGAGATAGTTTCAGTTTCCACATTGAGGGCTGCCAGTTGTAAGCCTCAGGTTGTTTTGCCTGCACTTTTTTTTTTGCTTTTTTTTTTTTATTTTATTGGTACATTTTAGATATGCATAATAACATTCATATAGGGAATTTGTAACTGTCATGATATATCTTGCTTCTTTTCTTCCCATTCCCCTCATCTCCCTTCAACCCTTCTTCCCTTCCTTATTTATAAAGCTTTGTTTCCATTTTTCCTTCTATTCTCTTTTGTTTCTTGTCCCTTCTTTCATTTCTTCCTCCCTCCTCCCTTGTTCTCATTTGAACATTTTCCAATATCTGTTATACATTTTGGTCCTTATTTATACTTTCTGTTTCTCACACCAGAGAAACAATGTGGTATTAAAACATGTGTGTCTGATTTATTTCACTTAAGAGTACTTGCCTGCACTTTGGACCAACTTCTAGTATGAACCAGGCTCCCCAAAGCCCCTTCCTAATGTTGGATTTGAGTGGCTACGCAACTTAGGAAACAAGATTTACTGGGTCTTCAAAAATTTGTTTTCTTATTAGTGTATGTTTGCATTACATAAGAAGTACATCCATCCTGGGAAATTTGTACATATGCATACTGCATTTTACTGATTTCTTACAAAGGATTTTATAAGGATACAAAGATACGCATGGGGCCAGGCATGTGGTAGAAGGACCCACCACCGTCTGGAAACCTCCACGTGTTGGGCATCCTAACATTTGCATGCTGGTCTGCGTCACAGCTCTGGGGTGCCTGAAACCCTGTATGATGGTCATTCCTTAAAAACAAGATGAGAAGTAGGAGGGCATGTCCAGGGGCCCTGATGGTGAACATCAATGCACTGCTTCACCACTGCACAGAACTGCATGGTCCATAACTCTAGACTTCGGAGTTAGCACATCAGGAGGTCTAGTTCTGTGACTGCATGTGCCTGCGGTCCCAGCTGCTCTAGACACTAATGAAGAAGGATCGTTTGAGCCTGAGTTTAAAACAGGCCTGGGTAATGTAATGAGATCCTGTCTTCAAAAGAGAGCAGGGGGCAGAAGAGAGCAAGAGAGAGAGAGAGCGCTAATCTGTGCCCAGCATTAAAGCAGACAGAATTCTGAAGATAGTATCTCATTTGCTTTGTGGTAAAATCAAAAGATTCAGTTCTATTTTCCTTTTGAACTTTGACTTTATATAACAGTAAGATGGTACAGGAGTGTAGAAAACAGCTGTAGGCCTGTCCTTACCTGATAAGGAAAAATAATTTGACTTTCTACATGATTCTTCCACTTTCTTTTGTGTGTTTGTTTGTAGTACTATTTGAACCCAAGGTTGCTGGCTGTACATCATGATTTCTTTAAGAGGCCAAATTTGGAAATTAAATGTAAGGTAGACATATTCAGTAGAGAAGAATAAGGCTCCGTCATGAAAGCTTTAGAATTCTTTTTCTTTGTGATGCTGGGGATTGAACCCAGGACCTGTGGTGTAGGCAAGTGCTCTATCACTGAGTCCCACCTCCAGCCCAAGAATAATTTTATATAGATGAAATTGAACTGCTCTGAATAACACACTGTTTTACACCTCCCTGATTCTTTGCTACTTTATTCACTTTAATTGTCGTGGCTATCTCTCCTGTTTTGAAGAACTGACCCATAGTTATTACTCTTGATCTTAGCCAAAAGGCCGAGAAGCGATGATCCATAGTTATTGATGAGAGGCTGAGTTATACTCACTCATTGTTTATCGGTTAGGAATCTTGTCCAGTCCTCACTGCATCTCTGCCCCCGCCTAGCCACACCTGCTTTTCCTAGATTGCTAAGAGGGGCTTCCCAAGGTGGCTCTGAAATATCTCATTGAGGCTGTTGGCTCTGTTGTGTGCAGCCTTGCATGTGTGCACTGTCATACAGCTGTGGAATGTGATGCTGTGTGGAATCCCCTTGGGACTGCATTTGGCTTCAGCTCCAGTGTCCTAAAAGGTTTTCAGGTTTTTTGTTTTTGTTTCGTTTTACTTTGCTTTGTGTTTTTTTGGTTTGGTTTTGTTTTTGAGACGGTGTTGTTCTGAAGTTCAGGCTGACTTGAACTCACTGTGTAGTCCACGCTGACCTCAAGAACTTTGCTACTTTGCTTTGTTTATGAGATGAGATCTCCCTGTTTCCCAGGCTGGTCTTGAACTCCTGGGCTCAAGTGATACTCCTGCCTCAGCCTCCTGAGTAGCTGGGACTATAGGCACATCTTGCAACACCTGACTTTTATCCAAAACTTGCCATTGTTGTATGGCTTACCATAATCCTAAAGGGCAGATATTTTATTTTGTAATAAAGCCCAAGACAGGAGAAGAATAGAGGATATTGACAGTGAGGGTCCTGCTGTGTGTTTGTGTCCCCTTGTGCTGTGTAGTACTAAGTAGGGATTTCAAATCCTGCAGGCTCTGAAGGGGTACGTGATCTGTTGGGAAATTGAAATTAAATCATGCTTGGATTGGGCCGGGGGTATAGCTCAGTGGCGTAAGTGCCTGCCTGGCAAGTACAAGGTCCTGAGTTTGATTCCTGGTACCAAAAAAAAAAAAAAAAATCATGCATGCTTGGAAAAAATTAAACAGTACAAGGTATTTTCTGGTTAAAAAGTGTTTTTTTTGTGTGTGGATTTGTTTGTTTTGAGACAGTCTCGATTTGTAATTCAGGCTGGCCTTTAACTCACTGTGTATGCCAGGCTGGCTTCAAACTCATGGCGATCCTCCTGCCTCAGTCTCTCAAGTGCTTTCTTCTCACTGCCTTCCTTCATGACCTGGTGCCTCCAGCCCTGTCATTTCAAGTTCTTGACCTAGTTAGCTTTACTTGGCTTCTCCTGCCTCTCACAACCCTACTGCATTCATTCATTTAAAAAGCCCATTAGTAACCACCATCCATGGCACATACTTTGTGCTTGCTGGCCTCGGTGCACTCATTCTCTTATTGTACTTCTTTTTATGGCTATTTTGTTTTGAAGTGATCCATTTTATCCTTAGATGTATTTTGTTCTCCAGTTTTTAACCTTTCATTTGGCACATTGCCTTAAAAGGGTCTACCTGTATAGCCCAGCTAGCCTCAAAATTGTGGCAGTCTTCCTGCTTCAGCTTCCTGAGTGCTGGGATTATAGGAATGCATCACCACGCTAGCCTCCTTAAAATTTAAGTCATGTGCCTTAGTTTGCTTACTTATTGTGGTTAACTTCCTGTAAGACACACATTATACAACATAGTAAGGAAGAAATTATTTTCCATATTTATCTGATATGAAAAAGTAAAGATAAAATTTAAGCCTAACCTACATGTCCTTTAAGAAATATACTTAGGTAGTGTGCCTAGCTAGTATGTAGGAGACCCTGAGTTTCATTCCCAATACCACAAGAAGAAAAGAAAAATCCTGGGTGTGGTGGTATACATCTGTGATTCCCACCCCTCTAGGAGGTTGAGTCAGGAGGATTGCAAGGTCAGGTTCTGCTCCAGCAATTTAGTGACGTAGAGAGACCCTGTCTCAAAATAAAAAATTAAAAAGGGACAGGGGATGTAGCTTAGTGTAAAGGCCCAGTGTTCAATCTGGAGTGGTGGGGAGGGGGAGAAAAATGACCTTCACATACCCCTTCCTAAACGGGTTTTTTGGTTTTGTTTTGTTTTGTGTTTCTGTTTGTTCTTTTTCAGGCAGGGTCTCACTTTGTAGCCCAGGCTGGTCTTTGGGATTGAACCAAAGGCCTTCATACTGAGCTATACCCCTGGCCTTTTAAATTTTTTTTTTTTTTTTTTTTTTCTTTTTGAGACAGGGTCTCACTATGCAGTTCAGGCTGGCCTTGAACTCACTTTGTGGCCCAGGCTGGTCTTGAACTCAGAATGATCCTCCTGCCTCAGTCTTCTGAGCGCTGGGATTACAGGTGTGTGCCACCACGACCAGAAGAAAGTAATTTCTTTGAGATAGATTCTCACTAAGTTGTCCAGACTGGACTCAGGATTCTTCTGCCTCAGCCTTCTGAAGTGTTGGGATTGTAGACATGTGCCACCACACTTGGCTCTGACCTTAATATTTTTAAGTTATTCTGTTTTATCTAATAGTATCCTCAGTGGCTGCTTAATTTTGGAAACTGAAAACAGGGGCCCTTCGATTGAGTTCTTTATCACTACCACCAAATAGCTATTTAGTATCAGTGAGATGGTGACATGCTTCCTTCATTTACTTGAAAATCAAACTGTAAGACCATGCCATTTAACATAGTGCTCATCACATTTATTTCAAACTGGTTTCATTGACACTGAATGAAAATTATCCCCTATTTGTTTGTAACTTTTCAAAAGTGAAGTCCTGCTTTCCTCCTTTGTGATTATTTCTTTGTCCAAAAAAGCCTAAGTAGAACTGGGACTGGTAATGCACACCTCTAGTCTTGAGGCTGAGGCAGGAGGATCACCCTGAGTTTGAGGCCAGCCTGAATTACATAGTGAGACCTTGTCTCAAAAATAAATAAATAATAATAAAAGGGGGTTGGTAGTGTATGTCAGTGCTAGAGCACCCCTGAATTTAATCTGAAGGGAGGGTGGATAAAAGGAAGGAGAAAGGAAGCAGGCAGGGGGCACAAAAGGAATAGAAAAGAGAAAAGAAAAAAGAAAGTGATCATTAGAGCAAAAGGTTTTATGAGGTTTTCAGACAAGTCACTGGTAACTGCTAGCCCTTAACCTGATGTTCTTTTCCTAGTGCATTATAAAGAATGGTCCTCTAAGTTATGTTTTTTTCTTTTCCTTTCTCCTTTCCTTGTTTTTTTCAATCCCCAGTACCTCAAAAAAAAAAAAAAAAAGTTATTTGTCACCTACACTTGTGGTAGCCAGCACTGGGAACAACTCAGAGCGCAGCTTAGGACAAGACGGGGCCAGTTTTCAGGAGTTCCACACAAGAGGAGCCTGCCAGGCACCTGAGCTAACCATGCTGCTTTTGTCAGAGGGAGACAGGGAAGGACACTTCTGCTGGAACCCCAGCGCGCTCTCGATTCCAGTACTGTTAGTCTTAGTCACCTTCACACTTGCTGCTTTCTATAACAGGCTATTCGCTTTACGCTGTGACAGCTCAGAGTGTCCTTGTAATCAGACTTCCTGCCCCATCCCTGCAAAATGCATTCTTTGTTCAGATTCTTTGTTCAGGTTCAGACCTACGTACTCTAAAGTATTGGCCTGGTTGACTTCATTGATGTTACATTTTTGCTCGCCTGAGGAAGGTTTGAGGACCAGTTACTAGAATGGTTCTGTTTTGCAGGTCACGAAGAAAATTCCTTCTAGATGCAAAACCACCTCCAAACCCAGATCGCCTTCTCTGACTTGCCTATTTTGGGCATCAGCTGCCTTAAACTAAGTTCGCACCATATTTGAAGATCTTTTTCTACAATGCAGTATTTTTTCCTTCATCTTTTTTACATTTTGATGAAAGATGTGCCTTCTTAACCTAAGCTGTGCTGACTCTACAAATATATGCACTCTTCTGAGGGAGAAGGTGTTCTTCTGAGGACTCTGTTACTCTTGCCTTGGCGTCTGAGGATTTGAAGATAGCTCCTGCCAGTTCACAACATAGGAATCAGCAATGTGTTGAAAACTGCTGCAAGACAAATAAGACTCCAGTGGGGCACTTAATAGGAGATTGCGCTCAGAAACATCTGTCCCAGCAGATTTATACCAAGCTATATTTTCAGGATGAATTTCTTATATCTGCCATCTTTTGGAATAAATTATTTTTCTGCTTTCTATGGAAATCTGGCTTCAGTGTTTATAAAGTTCATTTTTATAAGTTCTTCTGTGTCTAGATAATGCCTTTTTAAAAATGATTTTGTTAGTCGGGCATGGTGGTGCACACCTGTAATCCCAGCGCTTGGGAGGCTGAGGCAGGAGGATTGCCATGAGCTCAAGGCCAGCCTTGACTACATAATTGGTTCAAGGTCTGCCTGAACTGCATAGTGAGACCCTGTCTCAAAAAAACAAAACAAAACAACAAAAAAAGATTTTGTTGTCTAAACTTAGGTTGGATGTATAAACTCTGCCTTGTAGTTTGAGATGCCTGAAGAGACTGGTAAGTACTTTTCTTAATCCTTCAGTAATCATTTGAGTGCTGACTGTAGGTGAGGAGGCACCAGAGGAATAAACAGGTTTATATTGGGGTTCCTGCAAGTTCAGGAGCTGATACGCGGTTTAGAGAGGTGTGGTGATTATACATAGGGCTATAAGTAAGGCCACATTTGACCACTGTTTAAAAATGATGGCCACTTCCCTATAATCTCAGCTACTCAAGAGACTGAGGTGGGAAGATTGCTTGAGACCAGGAGTTCAGTGTTAGTCCAGGCAACATCGAGAGACCCTGTCTGTTAAGAAAAATGGATTGCAGTGGTGAGCATGTTGAGGATAATGATCAGGTGTAGGGACAAGGCAGCGCATGCTGTAAGACAGAACCATCACACCCTCAGAACAGGACTAAAGAAACCTAGAATGATTAAGAAGCCCAGGTCAGGGGTCAGTGACTTTGTGTGTTAGTAGCAAGTATCAGTTCACAAATTTGGTGGCTGTATTAGTTTTAAGAAACTAAAAAGTAAAACATTTACATTTTTACCACCTCATAGCTTTTTGACAGCCAGCCAAGAATGGATTTCCTGTTTTGCAGTTTGTACTTTTCTATTCCTCCCAAACTGTCTGAACTCATTACTTTGCTATTCTTAAGACCAAAGAGAGTTTCAAGTTGAAGTGTCTCTCCTGCTTTCATTTCTTTTAATTCTTTACTTTTGTTTTGAACTTAACATTTTCTGAACGTTGGGCTGGGTGGGGTAAGAGAGTGGTAGAGCACTTGCCTAACATGCACAGGACTCTGGGTTTGATACCCAGCTTTCCTACCAAAAAATTTTTTTGGGGAAGCTAGGCAGTGCCATACTGTACATTTCCAGCCATGGCCTCTTTAGTTAATTTCACAAAATCCATAAAACACTGAAGATTTGAAGTTCTTAAAGAGGCCATGACAGTGGGTATATCCTGTTGTTTTGTAAATAAGGAGTCTGGGCCCAGACAGGGAAATTTCATTGCCTAGTTTAATGCATCTGGTCAGAGGTAGCCTGGGGGGCAGAATCCATGTTTTCTAATTTTTATTCTAGAGCACTGTATACTGCCAACCTGTCTCACTTAAGAGTTGCATTGGCCGGGAGCCAACTGTGGGTCTCAGCTGTCTTCCATCAGAACAGCTTACAGGAGCCCTGTCAGGACTTGCATCTGAGAAGCGATGCCAGTGGTTACTGTGAATGTATGAGAGGGTGCCACAGTCTTTGAACTCTGGCCACTTGAGAAAGTATGACTCTGATGCATGCAGTCATGTCCTCAGATTCACACAGTGCAAGTCCTGCAGCTCATTAGCACTGAGCTTAGTCTGAAGCCTTCCCAAGACTGCAATATGTGCTGTCCAGGCTGGCCCCAAATACCCAAGTTTGAACCAAACTCGCATCTCAGCATCCTTAGTAGCTAGGGCTTCAGGCATGTGTGACCATGCGCTTGGCTTTACAGTACCTTTGAAGCACTGTTTTTCACCTGAGCATCATAACAGCCTCAGTGTAGCAGCACTTCCCTTGAGTGTGGCATTTGCCTGTCCCGAGTTCAGCACGTGGCATTCCCTGACAGAGTTCAGTGCAGGAGGCCTGAGCTGTGGCGTGCCTTGCAGCAGTGACGGAAGCGGCTTTGGAGGCTCCCGTCATTGATGATCAGAGCACGGCACGCTTCCAGTGTCATGGCAAGGCTGAGAGCCCAGCTAACAACTCTGGCTGATTCAAGTGCCTGAGTTCTGTCTTGCTGTCACTTTGTGCTGATCCATTTCACACTTCTCACTTGCACTAAGCGAATTAGGCCTTGAGAAGTGAATTGTGTGATGTTCATTGCTTTTGTGCTCTCGGTTGCGGTTGCCATTTGGTGGGGGTTGCTTCCTGCAAGGAAGATTAGTGTGCCGACTGTATGCATAACAGTGGGAAACACAGGAGACTGGAGCATGGGAGGGCCCGGACTCCCAGTGTTCTCTCTAAGCTGTACTGCGACTTCCTCCTGAAGAAGCTCTGATGACCTTGGCATAAAGCAGGAGACCACTGCTGCTTATAATAAAGGAAGGAGTTCATTTCCTACCCAAATTGGAGATCAAAGACTTCTCAGAAAGATTGAGTTCAAGGTCCAAAAGGCCAGGTACTACAACTGTGCCAGTATCTAGCTACATTACTGTTGTGGGAATGATGAAATCAGCTCAGATTTGGAGGGAAAACTCAGTAAGTGCCCCTCTGCGCAAGAAGCCACTTTACTCTTGAGCCTCAGTTTGCTCATTTATGGTTTCTGTTTGTTTTTACAATGCTGGAGATGGGACCCAGGGCCTCAGCAGTACCCAGTGCACTGCTGAGCTATACCCTCAGCCCTGAAATTCTTTTGGTTTTTCTCCGGTACCGGGAACCGAACTCACAACCTTGCACTTGCCAGGCAGGCACTTTTGCCGCTCAGCTAAATCCCCAGCCCCAAGCCCTGAAATTCTTAATGGGATTAAATGTTATTTATATGTAACCTCAGGCAGAGTTCCTCCCTTCACCTCATCTTAATAAGGGAACTATTTTGTTCTAACGGGACCCCGCCCAGCCTGGAGTCTGAGACAGATGCTTGTGAATCTCGCTTTTATAATTCCCTTTCTCCTGTGCTAGCCAGGGTCCAGAGTGGAAGGATTTTGTCTGCTCTTTCAAAGGATACTCAGAACATCCCTCTCCTCCAGAGCCTTTCCACACTCACATGATGTGGCCCCCTGGAATGATTATTAGGCTAGGAGAGTCCTAGGTTTGCAGTCTTATTGCTTGCTAGCTATGTAACTTAGGACAAATAATTTAATTGCTGGCCCTCAGTTTTTTTCATTTACAAAATTAGGATAATACATGTGTTTTGTACTGTATGAAGTTGTTACAAAATGAGATGATGGTGTTGGAGATACTTTTATAAATTCTAATTATGCGCCCTGTAATCCCAGCACTAGGGAGGCTGAGGTAGCAGCCCAGTCTACACAGTGAGTTCAAGGCCAGCCTGCACTACATAGTGAGACCTTGTCTCAAAAAAAAAAAAAAAAAAGTACAAACGCTGTTTTCCAAGGGCACACTGGCAGTTTTTTTCTATTAAGGCCCAAAGGGATGGTGGTTTTTGTTTTATTTTTTTCTTTCTACATATGGATTCCCTTTTGATTAGTCCTTTGTATTTAGAGGATTACAGAAAAATTTTAAAAAGGCATCTGCACCAGGTTCCCAGGCCTGACCTCTAAAGAGTAAACAATGTTAGTGTAAGTGGTTGGACCACACCCTTCCTGCCTTCTGAATTCTGCCAACCCCTACAGGACAGAGGTATTTCTGGAATGCTTTGGAGGATGGATTCTAAGGACATGTTGGTTTCTTTTAGCATTTTATTGTTGTCTGTGGTGCCAGGGATCCAGCCCTTTACTTTGTATGCTCGGCAAGCCCTGTATAACCTGAGCTGCTACAACACTAGCCTTTTTAGTTGTTTTCCGTACCCTTATTACTGTCCCGCCATATTTTACATCCTTTCTTTGGTGTTCCTTCAAAAGTAGAATGCTATCAATCCAGTTTTTTAGTATGAAAGGTATTTGGCTCTGGCAAGGCAGATTTGGAATTGAGAAATTATCTTAAATTGTTGCTCAGACTCATGGAAAATTCAGCCCTGGATTTCACCCATCAGAAGTTTAAAGAGTCAAGTTCTCCTTTATTTAATGAAATTTAAATTATATTTTAAAATACATACATAGGCAGTTTAGCGTTGTTTTATCATCCTATCCCTCTACACAAAAGTTCTTCAGTTTGGAAAACAAATATATTTTAAATGGACATGGAGACTTAAGTTAAAGGTAGGCATTACTTTTCTCCTGGTCCCTTTATTTAAGCTTTCTAGTTGAGTGGATGAAGTTGAAGAAAGTTGATAGCATAAAAATATTATAAAGTGTCTGTACCACAGTACAGTTCATGGGAAGCAGCATTAATGTCCAACCTAAGATGCTTATCGGTCACGCTGCTGTACCCGAATGGAGTATCGATATTTTTTTCAAAATGTATGCCTAAACTGGGTATGGTGGTGTACACCTGTAACACAGGAGGCTGAGGCAGGAGGATTGCAGCAAGTTCAAGGACAGCCTGAACTACATAGTGAGATCCTGTCTCAGAAAACGAAATGAAACGAAAAGTGTATGCATTGAAAAGATAACAAAACTAACATTGTCTCTGGATTGTAATTGCAAATGATTTTATTTTTTTCATCATATTCTGCAGTGGTTTAATAAAAAGAAACAATGGGAGTTACTTTAATGATAAAAGATAAAGCTGGGCGTGATGGTGCACACCTGTAATCCCATCCCTCGGGAGGCTAAAGCAAGAGGATTGCTGTGAGTTTGAGGTCAGCCTGGGCTACAAAGTGAGTTGAAGGCCAGCCTGAACTGTATAGTGAGACCCTGTCCCGAAAAGACAAAAATATAATAATAATAATAATAATATAAGATAATTGAATATTGTGTTCAGAAAAAAATTATTTTAAACTTCTGTATACAGAAAGAAGCCTGGTAGAAAATAGTTCAAAATACTGAAAATGTTTATTTCTTACATAATTTTTTTTTAAATTTTTCACATAGAACAAATGCAACATTTGTAATCACAGAAGGAAAAAAAGATTTTGTTGGTGATCATTGTTAGAATAATGTTAGTAGTTCCTT